ACACACACACACACACACACACACACACACACACACACACACACACACACATATATATATATATGATAATTGATCATCACTGTACGCCCCTTCAGGGCTGATTTGAACTTCTTCTGTTCATAATAGAACAAACTCGTCCATGCTGCTGCTAGTGTCCACGCTTCTCCGTTCGTTCTGCCTCTGGATGTAGGTGATGTTTGGGGGCGTGTATGTTCCTTCCTCCTCCTGACTTTTTCCTTCTGCAAATATAAACATGGGGTACGTCTCTGCAGATATGGAGAGAGCCTAAAAGAGACAGAAAGAAACCCAAACATGAACTAAACCCATTCTACAACAAATCCCAATGAATAAATCCCAATCACATACCTCATTAACAGCTGTGCAGAGTGATTCAAAGTCCATTTGGCCTTTGGCATAGAAGCCTATGGTACAGCTGGGGTCCATGCGAGAGAAAGACATTTTCCTGGGATATTTACAGTGAAAGGACTGCAAAGCGGTTTGGAGAAGAGACGAAAGAAAAGCGAACACTAATCAGAAAAAGGTCTCCTTAGATTCAGAGAAAATATCCCTATAGAAAGGTATGATGTGGATGTAATCGATTCAACATTAATACTTTATAAATCTATTTCAGTTATTCCAAACCAGGTACTTCAGCAGTTGCCAGGGGATACATGGAAAGATTGTGGAGTGGCTCAATTCATTTGGAAAAAATAGAAATTTCGATTTGATAAAATAAAAATCATCACATTGAGTCAACATTAAAATCTGGACACCAGATGTTGCAATTGAGAGTGCGTGAAAACGAGTTAGTAAGTGAGCAAAGAAGTCTAAACGGTTAGCTAAAGTAATTTATAAATGGCTGAAACGGTTAGCTAAAAGTAATAGATAAGTGTTTGAAACCTGTAGCTTCAGCAACACCAAGTACAAATGAAAAGTTAAACAAACCAAAACACTGATATTTTAACTGTATAAAAGAAAAAGATTCTGATAATATACGATATCTAATAAAACACTTTTAGTTATTAGTGCACGGCTGTCACAGGAGGAAACAAAACTGAAACCAAAGAAGAAGAAATGATAAGACGGTAGTTCCTCATACCTCCAAGGGAAAGTTCTCCTTTGCTATATCCACCGTGGGCTGACAGTAGTGAGGGTCCAAGTACAGCACATGGTCATCTTTTGCACAGCAGGGCCAGGGGAAGAAAAGAAAAAGTGAAAGGACTGACATCCAACAGCTGAGCGCCACAATTATGATGTGCATGACACTGCACATACCCTGGAAGCCGACGAAGAACAAAGAGTGCTTCGGTTTGCCCCCAATGATCCCAATGCAGCATTGTAACGTCAAGAGTTTCTGTAAAGAACGAGGAATGGGTTGTTGTTCTTTGTACTTGCAAGACACTCATTGTTTGCTTGCTTTAGAGCAAGGATTCCCTCTCTTTACAGACTTTACATGGGCGTTTTAACATTTCCCCATAAACTCCTCAGACTGCAGACTACTCAAGAGTGCCCATTGGAGTGACTGCATTGAATATAGTTGGCATACTTTGACACAAGTGATGTAGGAGGGATTGAGATCTTGTCCTCCGAGTCGCACGGGAACCAGGATGATGACAGACTTCCAGGGCTGAGGGAAAGGCTGCTCACACAACCTCTTCACGTCTTCCAAGTAGACTGAACGCACGGGAAGGAGGAGACAAGAGACAGGACATGTCTACGTGGTTTGATAATTCTTTCAACTTTTCTGAAATACTCACAACATTTTTGAATTAACAGTTAATTTAAAGTTTAAAATAACACCAACAGCAGTGAGTTACTCCCCATGTCCTCCTTCTCATGGCAAACAATTTACAGCAAAAAAAAAAAGCACATTTCCCTCAGCTGCTTTTATTTTGGCGGGAAACTGCCTGTTAGCAAATACACGGATGGAAGAAATTACTCACTGGTGCAATCTTGTGCAACGTACACGACTAGATTGGGCAGGTCCGCTGATGCTGCCATGGCTTTCCTGGGGAAAAAAATGATTTTACGGTCGGGCGTTACATCTCGATAGAGGTTGGTCAGGATAACTGGACCGTCGACTTAGGGTCTCACCGGAGGATGTGTGCCGCGATGGAAGGTCCGTACCAGTCGCCGGCCTTCTTCCCCGAGCTTTTGCCCAGCTGCACCAGCTGGTGTATCCCGAACGGGGCCGTGGGTTGGTCCGCAAACCACGACGCCACCCTCCTGTGCGTAGCCTCCATGGGTCGGTCCAGGAGGGAACCCAAGCTCAGTTTTCGACCCCTCTCATTCGGCTCCTCCTTTGCATCCAGTGCACGCTCCACACCGTCTGTGGGGCGAATCGCTGGCAGGTCCATGTCATCTTTGACCGCATGGGGGCTCACAGACCACGTCCAACCTGCAAAGATACAGTAATGCGAGTATGGGTCAATGTCGCTAAGATAAGACAACACATATGTACTTTAAATGTGCGGAAACCAGAAAGGGACATGGAGGGCAAAAATAATTGAAGGTTGGAACAAACTAAAGAAAAGTACTTTTTCATTTAGGGTCCCTATGATTGCTGCAGTAGTTTGGAAAGTAGCACTGAATTTGAATGGGGTGTTTATCCCCCCAAAAATTAGCTAGCTAGCGCACCACGCGTCCATCCGCCTCACTAGCTAATTTTAGTCTAATTGTCTTCTTGTCTTTATATTTGAGGCCAAACTCAAAATAAAAACATTCTACTGGTTGTTTCCATGATGTCATATAAATATGACAAAATGCATAAGTTCGACAAATCAGCCATAAAAGTCAAACTGCAGCGACTGCACTCAGAGTAGTTGAGGCTAGCTGGAGTGCAGTCACAGCTAGCTTTGGCTAAAGCTAATTTACAGACTTTTCCGACTGAATTTGTTGCCATTTTCAATGGCAACATCTGAATAATAATAATACATTTTATTTATTGAGCGCTTTTCATAATTCTCAAAGACACTTTACATTAAAATCATCATATAACAGAAAGCTATACACTCAAATTTTAAAACACATATCGGTCACACATCTTAGTATTGAGTTTGTAATACCAAAGTACAACAGTAGCTAAATGTAATCATAATGGAGGAAAAAGTAACACCAGATAAACTAGTCCTGCTATAAGCTAACCAGCCTAGCTTCGATGCCCCTTAGATTGTCCAATCATAAAGAATAGTGTCGGATATCATTGGACAATATTCTGCTTTTGAGCTTGATGGTCGACATCATTGCAGTGTGTGTGTGTGTGTGTGTGTGTGTGTGTGTGTGTGTGTGTGTGTGCCGTCACCTGGTGGCATCAGGTGCAGGAGCAGGCCTTGAGCCAGCAGCATCTGCCCCGTGCGTAAAACGCAACCCCAGCCGCTGTCGGTGGTCAGCGAGCAGCCCTCCAGCTGAGGGAAACCCCGTCTGTACGTCAACCACAGGCGGGACGCGAAGGAGCGGCGGAAACGCTCCTTCTCATCTGAAAACAGTGGCAGAGCTTGAATTAAAATCCCCTTCCTCTCTTGTTTTTAAGAATCACACGAAGAATTGCAGGAGGATTCGAGGGCCCACGGCTCAAGGCCTCACCGTGATCCCTGAGCTCGTAGGATTGTCCAAACATGATCACAGCGGAGCTCTTGCTGAATTTGGATCTCTGCTTCAAGGACCAGCCTGAAGCGTGAACGGGCAAAGAGAAAACTGTTTTTTAATCTCGCGAACCAAGAGGGAACACACAGATCTGACAATAGGAAAACAGTCAGGACGTGAGGGCGGTGACAACAGACCGTATTTGACACTGTTCCACGCCGAGATCAACTTGGATTTGAGCTGGCCCCTGTCCTCCCTGTCCTCCGTCTCCTGGCTCCTGCTCACCTCCGGGCTCGGGGGTGAGGCAGAATCAGAGGAGAGGAAGAGCCAGTCGTCCATCAGTTCATCTTCAGGGGACCGGCCCTCACAGCGAGCCGAGGCGGCGCTGGGGTTCATGACGACCGAAGGCGACCAAGACCGAGCGTGACGGATTGCTCCATATCGCCATCAACCTACGAAGACATGCGACCCTGAAGGACGATGCAGTCAACTACAGTCAACTACAGTCAACAGGATAAAACGGAGAGGAAATGCCCTCTGGAACCGATTGGTTATTATCGCTAACCGCAGCAAAGTCAATAACTCCCCATGACAGTAAGTAAGGAGGGAAACCACGTGACTGCATCCTGTGACTGAAGGAATCTCAGTGCTGGCGGACTATTGTCCTCCACATCTGGCTGATAAAACATCACATAGCTCAAGACTCACCGACACCACTGGTGCCGTTACATGGTTGTATATGTCAGTAGTGTAACCAGGGGCTGGAGAAGAAGGATCTTTTACCCAGGTAACAATATCAGTACGACAATGTAAAAATACTCCACAAAGGTTAAAAATCCTGCATGCAAATACTACTTAAGTAAAAGTACATAAGGATCAGAAGAAACATGACAAGGGACTCCAACTGAATACTGATTTTTTTGTGGTGAAAAATAAGTCTGAGAACCATTGGTTTCATCTTTAAAAATTGCATTGTACTTTATATATGTATATATATATATATACATATATATATATATATACATATACATATATATATACATATACATATATATATATATATATATATA